CAGCTAGATGACTCTAAACACTAGACAATTTTTTTTCCCTCCCCTCTGCGTTAGTTATACCATCAGGTATTTTTATATCTGGTGTTTGCATAATGGGGGATAGGCAACAAAGATAAGGTTGTAACAGTTTAATTCTCTGGTATGTTTGTCAACTTTTCTGCTTTATTTTGGTGCTTTTTCTGGACTGGTACCAGGAAATTATGAGATCTGCAAGAGTTGAAATTATCAGTGGTATGAAGTGAAAATGAAAACAGCTTAAAGACACTTCACTGGAGCAGTGGGGATGTATGGCATGGGGTCCTTTGTGACTTGGAGAGAGTAAAGGTTGAAGAAATTTATGTGAGAAATTCTCCCTGGGATCTTCTAACCATTCCCTTGTCCTGTTTTTGAAAATATTTTTATTTAGGGTCTTAGAATCCTCTGAAACAAAGGGATGGTTTGGCTGTTTGAGTCAAAATAAGCTTGTTACAGCCGAGTAACTCCTTCAAATCTAGATAAGGCAGATGCCTCTCATCAGTTATCCAGTGGCCTAAGGGAAATGAGCCAGGAGTTTCTCTCTGGGAGGAGCTGACAAGGGTCCATGACAGGGAAACATTCATTGTAGTCAGCAGCCTGGTTGGCAGCTGTGGCCCATGGGCCTGACTAGTTTCTCATCCTAAAGAATGTCTGGGCATCCTGGCAGAATGAGATGGAGTTCAGTGTGGCTATCTCTCTGAGAGTAAAATACCAAGGTGATCTAGCCTTCAGCTTGGCCAGCTCCAGTCCATTCTCTTCACTACAGCTGAGTGGTATTTTAAAAACAAATTGGTTTGTGCCCCTGCCTTGATTAACATCTAGACTCCTTCCTGTGGCCCAAAAGGCTCAGCAGGATCTGGCCTGAGCTTATCTTGCCAGTTTCACTTTAAATAGACAAAGCTCCTTCCCCTAATTCTTCTCCAACATTCTTCTCTGTCTGGTATGTTATTCCTCTCCTCTTCACCTGTTTCACTTCTGTTTTAGGTCTTCAGTGAAACATCATGTCCACAGAGACTGCTCCTCTGGCCCTCTCGGACGACATCCAATCCCCCTGTTAAAAGGTCTCCCGTTCTTGGTACAACTTACAAGTTTCGCCCAATGTCTTGCCAGGCTGTGAGGTTAATGGTGGCATTTTGTTCATCCTCTGCTTCAGGGCCTAGTAGAAGGCTAATTAATGTTCATGACTCAGTGATTCTCTCCCTTCGTAACTCTACAGAGACAACAAGTTTAGCCTCTGGAGTTTCCCTTATTTTTCCCCACCTCCGGTCTCTACTTGGTGAATTTCTGTTCATCTTTTAAGATCAAGCTTAATGAACTCTTTCTTTTAGATACCTTTCCTAGTCACCTTTCTACCAGCCAGGGTGGGCTCAATGGCTTAAATGAACAAAAGCATATTTGTAGCTCATGCAACATATTGATCAGGCTTGTCTGGTTGCCTACTCCTCGCTCAGGGACCCAGGCTGAGAATGTCTCCATCTCTGTGCTTCCATGATTTCCAAAGCAGGGACAGGAAAATGTGGTAAGCCAGCTGCTGGCTCTTAATCTTTCCCCCTAGAGGTGGTATGCTTTGCTCAGACATCATGCCCAGTCATATAGCTATGCTTAACTTCAAAGAGGATGGGGAAGTACATTTGTATGATGTACCCGGGAAGAGGAAAACTGGTAATGTTTGAGGAACAACACTGATGCCAACCAACTCCCTCCAATGCCTGGCTTCTCTTGGTATTTATTCCCAGCCTCTCACTTACAATGATCTATTCTTCCACTCCCCCATCGTTGCACAGAAGACCTTAAAATCAACAATAACTGAATCAGCTCCAAAATATTAATGTCAAGCACACACTTTATAACCCCGTCTCCTCGCTTTCTAGCTCATGCATTCTAGTACCCTCATGGAAACTGCAGTTGGGGTTCCCTAAGAGGCAAACTTTGAGATGGAGGCTGGCATGCAGGAAGTTTATTAGGGAGTGCTCTTGGGATGAAGGCCTCTAAGGAAGGGAAGAATGCAGGACTGGACAGAGGGAGAAGTTAGCTCAATATCACTGAGTGCTCTGAAATCTGGATGGTCCCTTAGAATTATCTTGAGCTGGGGTAAATGAGAAGCAGTCTTTGTTGTAGCTCACTCCCCGGATGAAAGTGTGACTGACTGTATTATCTCTCATTAGCCAAGGACAGTTTCCCTAAAAGGATAACAGCTGATGATTGTTAGCAGGCAATACTCCCAGTAGCTGGGGGATTAAGTTCTTTAGTTCTGAAGTGAGGTCTGAGAGGTACAGCAGAGTGCCCACCCCTAATACCCAGTCCATTTCAGCTGTCTTTCTCCATCTTCATGTGCTCACATCTCTCCTAATTAGCCGCGATTCCTTGGCACTTCATCGTCATCATCTCTTTCTTTAGACCCTCAATTCCCCTGTATCTCTGTTTACTCATTATATCTGCATAAGAATTCATCTCTGGTTACACCCTTCTACTGCCCCCAAATACCTGAATGAAATTGGAGAAAAACACAGGTCCATGCTGACTGCTCTCACTTAACTCATTCGTGATCACAAATCACAGCCGCTCCTCAGCCACCGTACTATATGCTCTGAGTAAATGTTTGTTCTCTTTTATCAACATGACTAATACCTTATCCCCCTCCTTAAATATCTGATACCTCCTCCCTTTCTTAAATCTCAGACGTTACCCTCTCTTTTCATTTAACTGAAAAAATAAAAATAAGCGAAGGAGAATGACTTCATCTTACCACCAACTATGCCAATGCATCTCCATGTCTTCCCTTATCTCAGCTTTGTTCTTATTGTAGAGATGACTTGCTCCATTCTGTGTACTGCTTCCCCCCCGGATTTGGCTCCTGCAATGATCTCTTTCTTCTATATCATCAGTTTGCTTCACTCGTATCGAATCCTTTCCCAAAGTGTACAAACGTGCTGTGATCGCTCCCATCCTGAAGTAAGACACTCTCGACACCAAGTCTCTCCAGAACTACTACCCCATTTTTCTTTATGGGAAAAAAAATCTCAAAAGGTTTGCCTTGTTTTTCTGTCTCTATTCCCTCCTCTTCCATCCTGTCTTTAATTGACTCAAGTCAGGCTTTTCTCCACCACCTTCCCAAATCTACTCTTCTTCCGTCAAGGTCACCGTGAACTGCTTCATGCCCAATCCAGTGGTTAGTGATGTCCTGATCTTATTCAGCTTCTTAGCCGATGACAAAAGTGATCATTACTCCTTTCCTGAAACCCTTTTCCTCTCGACTTTTGTGATACCACTGTTCTGTGAAGCAAAATGCTTAAATGATGTCAGGTATCGACTTGTTAAAGAATTCTAATGCTCTGGGTGCCAGAAAGATCTGAACTACACCTCATGCTCGGTTACTATTCTGTCTTAAATTCGTGGGGGAGTTCCCTTCATACTCCAGCTTGATAGAATCTTATATAGTTTTTATATTCGGCTGTCCATTTATTTTAATTGTGCATTGTCTTGGATCATTTTTGGAAGAACATGATCTTGTATAAGTAGAACACTTTATTGCCTGAAGCATTTCAGTGATTTCTGGTGTTTTGCACTTACAGTTAAGCAAGTCTTGCTAACTGTGTGTCTTTCTAGGACCTCAGTTACTCCACAGTAACTTTTATTTATGGGCTGACAGATCTTTAGTGCTGAAAAGAATCTGGTATTATTTAAGTGTGTTTTATTAAGAAATAAGTCAATCCACTTTTACTTTTATATAGATAAGTGAGATTCCTAGTGCCCCAATATAGCTGTTTTTATCCTCTGTTTCTACACATGAAGTGCCTTAGGACTTTGGTGATTACCTTAATAGTAACACCATGGTTGACTGTCATTTTCAAGGTGCTTTCATGAAGTAAATCATAGTAAATAAGAGATTGACTTCTGAGTTCAAATCCTGGGTATAGCATGTTCTAACAGGATGACTTTGTGCCAGATATTTAACTTCTCTAAGGCCCAATTTTCTAGATTTCAAAATGTCAGTAGTGCTGCGTGTACTTGGATCATGGAATTGTATGTGAATTACATTAGATAATTTAATGATGTAAAGCAGTAGGTTTAGAACTAGCCTGTATGACAAACTGATAAGAACCTTGAGACTCAGCATGGTTAAATGCATGTCACAGGCTAGTAACTGGAAGAACCAGAACTCTCATTGTGTTAGGTCCTTATGCTGTGCTGTGATCCTTTCCTCTCCATCTCCATAAGCACTCGGAGTAAAATGAACATTTAAGGCATTTCTGAAAACAACTTCCAGAAAAGACTAAAGTCTGTACTTAAGGTTGTAGGTTATTTCAGTTCTTACCATGAATGCTTATGAGGAAGCTGGTGATGCCCTGACCTCCATTTCAGAGAGAAAAAGATCTTTTTGTTGAATCAGCCCATTATTCTGTCACATGGGAAGGATCTCCAGGTCAAGGAATGAAAGATGTCAGTTTGCATTAGACAACAGCTGTTGTCTGTATTCACAGTACAACATGGGAGAAACTGGCTGCGCCATCATTTTTTAACAGATGGATTAAAGCGTGTCTTAGTAAGACACCTGAGCAGAGAGGCCTGGATCCCCTTGATCTCTCTGATAAAAGCTACACCATGTACAGTGGACACCTAATAAATATTAATTGGTATCAACTCACTGGACTCAGAACTCTTTGATTTTGGATGTTTAAATCCAGCATCCTTCTTGGTGAGAGACTAATAGACTAAGATTGAATAGCAGATTCAATCTTCATACTTCTTGGTTTCTTAACTGTTAACATCTCACCATGCATCTTTCTCGAAATACTTTCAGCTCAAGATGGGATCTAATGAACCTGAATGCAGTTGAATTTGCATTTAAGTTTTGTGTTTACTGCATCTTGCTTTTTCTTTTAGCTTTGATCGGCATTTGCCTTTTTAAATTTCATTGTAAAATGAGCACACTAAATAAAGTTCATTCACTTAACTGCGATGTTGCTTCTTTTGTTCTCCTTCAGATATTGATGAGTGTGCAGCTAAGATGCATTACTGTCATGCCAATACTGTATGTGTGAACTTGGCTGGGTTATATCGCTGTGACTGTGTCCCAGGCTATATCCGAGTGGATGACTTCTCTTGCACAGGTGAGCATGAAGAAGCAACACTGTTTTTCTGATTCAGTCCTTCTCTCTGCCATATGTGTGTTGTTAAATTTAACTCTAAGTGTACTAGGTAGTACTGTAACCCAGCTAGTTTTTCTCTTGCACTGTTTCACCCTCCCCTTTGGAGAAAAAAGTTGTAAAAAAAATTTTGCCTGCGTAATTTATTTCTACTCCCAGTGGACTTAGAGATATCAGTTTTAAGAATGGAAAAGTATCAAACTATTTTTCTTCTATCATGCTGAAATGTTTTTGTATATAAGAAAATGTACTTTGTTCCCATTGGGAAAGACAAGGATTAAATTTAGAGGGGCAGTGGAGTACCTGGTGGGCAGGAATTGGGCATGTATGGGAGCCAGTCAAGACTCTGGATTGACATATGCTGATGGTCAGTTTCCCCTATATGGCAGGGCTCTCAGCACTAAACTGGCATTCTAGGGATATGGGCGGTGCCTTCGTGTGAGCAACGCTGGCTTTGTGGGGCATTTGGTTTGGGGGTTCCAGTATACTTCCAATTATATATATATGGAGGTATGAACAGTAAATTGGTTAAGGATGGTAGAAAGTTCTGAGTCTTTTTTCTTCTGGTCAAATGTCTTTAAATGACCAACCTGTAATCTATAAGAAAAGTGCCCCTCGAACACAGAATTTCAGTCATTTTGTACCTTTCCCTGCCTCCTGCATCTTTTTTTGTTGTTGTTGTTCTATTAACAGTGGCCTATAAACTGAATTTTTCACTCAGAATGGACTGCCACTCTTAGGTGTATTTTATTCCCAATGACCTTTACAGAAGTGCAAAAAATTGCAAAAGTTAGGGAACATGTTTCTGTGTCCAAATAACCTTTCCCATTGATTGTTGTGTATTTATGTTATTATTTTTTGGCTAAGGAGCTGGTGATACGAGATTAATACAGGTTTCTGATGGCCACAGATAGCCAATCTCCTTTATCTTTCATGTAGTATAACTAAAATTCCCAGAGAAAAAAGAGATTGCATCAACACAGCATGCTGAGAGCTAAACATTTTAAAGGGGATGCAAAACTCTTTTGGACCTATAAACAAACAATCTAGAAATCTGATGTTTTGTATGATTGTTTCTTCTTATGATTAACCTTAACCCTAAGATTAGAAGGAACCGGTGAATATCCTCCTAATAACAACAGCACATATCATGCAACTCTGTAAACCTTGATTAAGGCCCTGCTGTGTAGAAAGGCCTTGTTGAAATCATAGCAGAATACCACCTCTGCTTTACTTTTTCACAAAGGAAGGAAGATCGGAGCTCCGTGCTTGTTGAAAGCCTCTTAAGGATAGGTGCCCTGCCTGGTGGTTTATATATGGAACGAGATGGAAAATGTATTTATAGAATTACTTTGAGAAAGCAAACTGTATTATTGGAGTAAAAAACAAGGATGTGGGTGTCAGTGGGTACCCAAGCATCCCCTCTGCAAAAAAAGAGGCTCAGAGAGACTTTCTCTGATTTATATAATTAGCTACCCATTATCCTATCACCTGATTTTAATTTTCTGACTATCACTTATTACCATGTAGAGTTTTTATTTTTTATATGATTTTCAAAAATTTTATCTCTATTAGAATGTAAGATCTGAGAGCTGGGACCTTTTCTCTTTTGTTCCCTATCTTTGCTACTTAAAACATAACCTAGTTGGAGGAGCTGGGGTTGTGGAGAACATAGCCTGGCAGAGTGCCGTGCTCGACAAATATTTATTGAATGAAGGAATGAACAAAACTATTTGGCCTTGGGCTATTTACTTCTCTAAATTTCATTTATAAAATGCAGCTCATATCTGCTGTGTCTGCTATACCTGTTATATGTAGCTCTTTGGTTATTATGAACATCAGATTGTATATATGAAAACATTTATCTTGGCACTTGCGGGCACTTGCATCAGTCAGGATAGGATGTTCTGCAGTAACAACCCTAAATATGACTAACCTAAAATAACAAGGTTTTGTTTGTCTTTCACTGGTCAACAAGAAGGGTGCTTTGCTCATCATAATTACTGTGGGGTACAAGCAGATAGAATAGTCAGTATTATGAACATTGCCAGTCATCAAGATATGAAAGAGTCTGGAGGGTCTTGAAACAGTCATTCAGTGTTGTTATCAGAGAGTGACACATACCCTTTCCACACTCTGCTCGTTGACTAGAGCTAGTCACCGGTACCCAGCCAACTACAAGGGCATGAAGAAATGCAGTTCTACTTTGTGCCTAGAAGGTTTGGAAAACCAGAAATATTTGGTGAATGGTGCTAATGAATACGTAGTGACTTAAACTTAATAGATTCTCAACAGATTTTGTTTCCTTTAACAGGAGCTGTTTATTAAAATAACCCTCTTTCCCCCAACAGTACAGAGTGTGTTGGGGAAAGTAGTCTCAAAAACATGATGATATTAAGCACATCTGTACTAAGTGCTGTGATGGAAGGACAAGCAAAGTACAATAAGAAAAAGTTGCTTGATTTCCAGAATAGTGTGTGTGGAGTGTTTTTCAAGCCACAAGGAGCTACTGGAGTTAACTCATGTTAACATGCAGTGAGCGGATTAGGGTAGGATTTTATAGTCTGGAATATGGATGGGAGTGCAGAGAGCTAAGAGACAAGCATTCTCCCTGCCATTTCTCCTCTGGACCAGATCCCAGGGCCTCCATTAGATGCTTGCATAATAAGTTGGAACTCTGATATTTACCTTGGTGTCCTGAAAGTAAGCCTGTTAGGCCAAAGGTGCTCTTTGCTCTCCAAGATAGATCAGGTCCCCACCTCCAATCTCTGTCATTTCTTTATTGGCAAAGACTTCTTCCTCTAAGTGGCTATTTGTCTATGGTAATAAGTAAGGTATATAATAGATGTTGGCCACTGCAAGGCATCTTTTCACATGTTTCATTTTCTAAAGACCATTTTCTGGAGAAACTGACAGACTTGAAGGCATCCTTTGTTTGCCCCAAGTTCCTGATACAGCATTTCTCATTATTGGCATTCCTGATTTCCAAAGTCCATTCCAGACTCTGTCCCAAATCAATTAGTATCTGCTGCTCCTGTTAGTTTTCTAAATATGTCAAGGTCACTGTTCTCTTTCTTTTAGTATGCCATTTAGCTTGACCTTAACTGCCTTAGAGGTCAGTAGTAATACTGAAAAATTAGATTCAACTAAAAATTAGTGAGCCTAGAAGTAAAGAAGATCTATCAACTTTGGTAATAGATTATTGAATGATTGATTGATTGACCCATTTCATTCATTTATTCATATATCTAATACATCATTAGTATCAGTCACGAGTATTAGGAAATATGGTCACTGAGAATAGTGATAAATGATCTCTGTGCCCAGAGAGTTCATGATTAATGAGGCAATGTCTTCATGTGAAAAAACTCAAATGTATATTCACTATCAAAAATGTTCCAATGTTTGCCAAATCAATCCCTCTTGAAAGTCTTAGTAGAATTTAGATGAGTATTGGGTGTTTAATCCCATGTTAGTTGTTAGTCCTTCATAAGGTCCAGAGAAGAAACCCTAAAATAGCCATTTGAAACTTTATGCTGATAACCATGGTCCTTTTAGAAAGATTGCACCTGTGACAATAAATAGATGTTAAACTTGATGCTGGAGGGGAAAGGCAATGTGTCAAACAGAAAAGAAACTTTAACTCTTTCCCCCTTTTTATCTTAATAAAAATTGGGAAAAAAATCGTATCTCGTGGGAAAATAAGGGTTTAACATTGAGAATACTTACCCCCAACTTAAATGGTTTCACTTATTTGTGGTATATAAGGAATAGCATGGAGGACATTAGGAGAAGGAAGGGAAAAATGAAGGGGGGGGGGAATCACAAGGGGAGAGGAACCATGAGCGACTATGGACTCTGAGAAACAAACTGAGGGTTCTAGAGGGGAGGGGGGTGGGGGAATGGGTTAGCCTGGTGATGGGTATTAAGGAGGGCACATATTGAATGGAGCACTGGGTGTTATATACACACAATGAATCATGGAACAGTACATCAAAAACGAATGAGGTACTATATGGTGACTAACATAACAATAAAAAAAATGTGTTATAACTTAATTTTTACACCTAGAGGCTGGGGATTCCCTGACATGACCCCGTATTCTATACGAGGCTTTGTACTTTTTTCTAGGAAGGTTTCCCTTGCCCTTTGAAAGGGTGAAATTGAAAGCATTTGATGCTTGGGCCAGTTTTTGGCCTTAGGATTTGTGTGAGTCTACATCACTTTCTGTCCTGTAAGAGACCCCTGGGTTGCCCTTGCTCTTTTATGAATTTCGAAATTGGAGGATTCCCTGAAATTAGGCTGGTGGGGTGCTTTTCTATTCTCTGTACCTTTTGATTTTTGCAATGGTCAGACTCCTTGATTTACTGGTCCCTGACATTCATTTATCCCCAGTTAAACTGCCCGTGTTTTGCTTGTTTGATAAGATGTTATCATTAGATACTCAGGCAGCTTGAAAGCAGGATACCTGTGATTTATGACAAAAGCATGCAGCAATAAGACAGGTACTTGACAGTAATGGGTAAGCATTCATTTTTATGCCAAAAGCTTCCAATGAAGGTAAGAAATAAAAGAAACAAGTGAGATAACCTGTATCCCATGTGAGTTCTATTACCTTGCTCAAAGGATTTGTATTTTCTTGATATTGGCATGGAAGAAAGCTTGAAGGAAGTATATGTTTGAAATACTTCAAATAAGCTTAGTTAAAGTTAGATATAGTACATTAATTTTAGTGGTTTCAATTGAGCACCTTATGAAAAGAGGTGAGGCAACAGTTTAAAAGATTTAGGATTAAGAGGTAACTGTTAGAAATTTTAGACCAGTTTTCTGAAAAAAGCTTTTCTCCTAAGGTTGATGATATAAAGAACACTTTGAAATATGAGGTGCCTGATGTCGTTTTATTGAGCAGAGCCATATGAAATAGAGCCAAAATAGAACATTCTGCAACTTGATAGAGCATGGTA